GCGGTACCGGGGGCTGTTCACCAACCGCCACAGCTTGGCGGGGAAGTTGTTGGGGTTGATGGGGGTGGAGAGCAGCGCCTCCTCCATCGCCCCCGCCCGGGCCCTGGGCCTCGCCCCGCCGCGCCTGGCTCTCCCACCCCGTTCTCGATCCCCCCCGGCCTTCGCTTCGCCCTGCCCCCTCCTGCCAGCGCCCGGCCGCCGCGGACCCGGGGACCGTTGGCGCACGAGTCCCCGCCGCGCCCTGCAGCGCGGCCAATGGGGCCTCGAGTTGCGGCCGCGCGGCTCCACGCGGCGCGAGCCGGCCCTGCCCCTCGGCGGCCGCGCGGAGGGCCGGCCCCGGAGCCGCGGGGCCCAGTCTCTCTCGGGGTCCCCAAACTTCAGGCGGGGAAGGCTGCCCACCAGGGAGTTCTAAGCCCTGAAGAGAAAGGAGCCCAGTTATCCTCCCGTGGAATACGAAGATGCGTGTATTTCGGCACAGCCAGCGGGTGGGGATTTCGAATGCAAAAAATGTGCGTTAGGAGAAGATTTAAGTCATTCATGCTGGAGAACAAAGGGCCCAACTCTGTAATTTTTACTATCATTTGAATTGTTCGCCTCTCCAAATAAAAACGGTGGTGGTGGAGGTACAGTATCTTGAGTCAACAAATTCACCTTTTAGGCAGTAGCATTTTATATATTTTAAAATAGTCTTTTAGGCCCGGCGAGGTGGCTCAAGCCTGTAATCCTAGCACTCTGGGAGCCCCAAGCAGGTGAATTGCCTGAGCTCAGGAGTTGGAGACCAGCCTGAACAAGAGCAAGACCCTGCCTCTAAAAACTAGCCAGATGTTGTAGCAGGTGCCTGTAGTCCCAGCAACTTGGGAGGCGGAGGCAAGAGGATTGCTTGGGCCCAAGAGACTGAGGTTGAGCCATGATGCCATCCATGGCACTCTACCAAAGGTGACAAAGTTGAGACTGTCTCAAAATAAAATAAAATATACCCTTTCAAGCCAGTATTTTGCTTAGGACAGTTTGCTGAATGTTAGATGAGAAACGAGATGCCGCGGAGAAGGGAACTGTGAGACTGTAAGTACAACTCTGTGTGCCTGCTCAACTAACTGGTGACATTTTAGATATTAAAGGGAAGTAAACCTCGCCTGATAAGGACAGAATTCTACAGAATCCATAAAAATAGCTCCTATCCAATCAACAAATAAGACTATAACAAGAGCTGTGCTGATCAAACAAGAGGGGTCCATTTAAAAAATGAAAAATTTGGAGGAAGAGGCATATGTTTTTTCTCCTGGCCGAAGGAACAATGAGTATTAAATTGCCTTAGAAATTGAAATGAATAAAAAGACCCAACAAAACAGCACTAATATAGAGATTTTATTTAAACCGTATTGAGTTTTTACAGCACATTGCATGTTTGTCACAACGCAACTGCACAGTTTGGATTTTTGGCCACATCATGTCACTTACACCCACAACAGCTCTGAAAGGAGTATTTGACGAGTACATCTGAGCCAAGAGCCCAGAGTCTCTCTCCAAGACCATGCAGTTTGTTCATTGATGGGACAGTCCCTCAAAACAGCCATACAAAGTAGACAGATACAGTCTCCTCAAACGTTACCAATCTTACTCTCCGTGAAAACAGGCAGAGTGAAGTGCAACGGAAGTCAAGATAATGAAAAAGCCACTCACAACTGGCAGTAAATTTTAATGATTGAGAAAATGCTTAAAAGAATTTTATGTATCAGACACAAGGAGTAGTTTGTTACTTTTTCAGTGATCTCAGGAATTTTGCATACACAAATTCTCCATTATTCAGCTCCGTTTAAACAAACAAACAAAAAAAAAGAATTCTGGCAGGCTGACCTAAATACGCCAAAACTTTTTAGGTTACATCCATGGCAAGTATAAAAGAACCACAGATGCTTCTCTGTAGGACTGAAGGAAAGGTCAGGACAAATAACAATTCTTGTTCTAAATGCAGATCCTAGTTATTTTGGGATGAAAAAAATTTTTTCTAGAAAGCAACATAAAAGTAGCAGTGAGAAAGACAACTACCACAGTTTTAAAAGAGGATAAGCCAAAATATGATTTACCTTTTATATATCAACAAATCAAGGAAAATGTATACAGGCCATCCTAGTGGTCTCATTATAGACCAAAGAGACTGTATCTGTCCCAACCACAGTACATGGCTATATCACTGTATCTTTTGGTTAAGTGCCACTGGTACATATTAAGATGAAAAATAAAGATTTAAAAAAAAAAAACAATAACAATGTTTGGTCCAAATGGACACATTTTCTCTCCCAATTTTGGTATCAAGGCTTTATTCTCTTCTGTTTGGGTTCCATTGTTAAGTGCACAGAAATAGACAGCAGCATTTGTACTGAAACCCTCACATACCAAACAGCAAATTCTAGGAGGTAAAAACCAAACACTAAATTCTACCCTCAAGGTGTCAAGTGTTCAGGATAAGAAGCAGTGTGACCCAGAGGAGGCAGCAGCCAGGGGAAAGACAACACCGGGGAAGTGGGCAATGGAACAACAAAAACCTTTGTTTTATTTTCATGCCAGGAGAGGATCAAGGTGTAGCTCCTGTGTTAGCACCGGGACAACTAGGAAAAGTCAGGCGCAAAGGGTAGGGCACAATCAGCAGATAATTCACAAGGACGACTTTTGCTCTTCCCTTCCCATTCTTCACAGTGCATACCTCAGAGCTGCCACTGTATAACAGAGAGGACTGCTTTCACAGCTCAGCATAACTGATTTTTGCCAGGACTGAACATTAGCAGAGTTTTCTTCTGCTCCCAAAAAGGTCTTGCTCCCTAGAACTGTCCCATCCCCCTAAACCGAAGATTCACTGATGCTAACCGATAAGCCAAGTGAAAAATACATCGAAACCCTCCACTTGCCAAACCAGTCTTTAAACCAAACTCCACAGAAAGACAGTACAAATGCAACTAGAGGGAGTGCCTCTAAAGACTGAGCCTTCATGCACAGACACAGAGCACAGAGGTACAGGATATAGTTCATCTCCAATAGGACAGGATTTCCTATCTTGTATACTATAATCTGCTTTTTTCAAGGTGGAAGAGAGATGGGTCTGGTTATCACTTGGAGTTTGGTTAAACATATGCCTTTCTATTGCTGTTTGGGGCACTTTGCACCAGGCAATATCTATGAAATCATCATCTTGTGACCTCCAGGAGAAAGAAGCTGGAGTCACCAACTCAACATAAAGATTCCAGACTCTGGGTCTGGAGCAGGACCATTATCCCAAGGTGAGGGTCTCACCAGTAGAGGACCTCCTGCCAAATTGAAATTCCTCTGCTCCAGTTTCATGGTACCAAGGAGAATTTCGCAAGACAGTATCTTTGAGCTCTGTGATTTCATGAGCCACACCAAGGAACCTTCCAAACTACACCTGAAGCAGATGCTCCCTTCAAACCTGCAAATATTGGACAGGTCATCTCCCCTGGTATTCAACTGGAAGCTGTAGCGATGGGTTTCTTCAGATGTTGGCTCATGAGTTCCCTGGCACGAGATACTTGAATGTGTTCGTAACAGGAGTTACAGACGAGAACTGGGTCATAGAGTTGTTGGTCAGGAATGGGCAGCTTCAGGTGGCAGCATCCAGCGCAAAATACATTCCCACAGTTCCTGCCACAGCACAAAGAGGGAAGCGTTCATCAGAAATGCCAATACATGCCTTTATCAATACTGGGACTTAATAAATATATATATATATACATATACACTGAGAATAACAGAGAGTCAAAAAGCCTTCCCATGAATAAATGAAAAGAAAGTTGGGAGTAAACAAAATAGTTCCTATAAAGCTATCTCAATTGTTAGATTAATTCACTTTAGTTCTACACATAAGTTCTACCCTGCTTTATGAGTCATACTGAATCATATCAAAACCTGTTACCTGCAGTGGTGTCTTCGCTTGGCCAACCAGAATTCACAGTCACAGTTATAGCAGTGTGATGCCATATGGTCTGGAACCCAGCGAGTCACCTAACAGAAGGCACAAGGAAAAATTCCAGGTTCTTGTCAACAGAGTGAAAGAGCAACAAGGAAAGCATCACAGGAGAAAATGGCAAAGCTGATCCTCAAAACTAGCTACTACTTGTTTACAAAGATGACACAAATTTGGGGGAGAGCTCGTTCTACAGCAGGTCTCTCATCTCTGGGAGATGTGAGAACTCACTAGCTCACATAAGTATTTACATATTTGCCTAGACATACCTCAGTCTCTTTCTTATCAACAGGTTCCCAGCTTGCTTCTGAAAGGCAGTCTTCACTGTGATCAGAGCCAAAATCTTCTGTATCACTGTCATCTGACTCCTTCAAACATGTCTGAAGAAAAGGCAAATACATCAACATCATCTTCCTCGGCTCACACTTTACGTGTCAGGTACTGTTCTAGCTTCATTACATGCATGAATGTATTTAATTCTTCACAACAGTTTTAAGATGCATACTATTCTTATTCCCATTTTACAAATAAGGAAACTAAGCCACAGAGAAAGTTAAGAGCTGATAAGTAGTAAAGCAGGGATCTGAATCTAGTATTCTGGCTTCAGACCCATGCTCTTAACCAATATCCCATAGCACAGTGTAGAAACATTCTCTCTCTGTCATGTTCTAAAGCAAAGGTTGGCAACCTATGGCCCACAGGCCAAATCCAGGCCACTGCCTGTTTTTGTAAATCCAGTTTTGTTGGAATACAGCTGCGTTCAGCATTTATGTGTTGTCTATGGCTGCCTTTGTGCTACAACAGACTACACAGCCCACAAAACCTAAAATATTTGTTTGGCCCTTTACCAAAAAAAGTGTGCTGACTCCTGTTTAAAGCATCAGAGAAGTGGGCAGCAGGCAAGTGAGAGTGTCTTAACAGAAGGAAGTGTCTGTGTAGATACCAAGATATTTTGGGGAAGAAGCTGGCTCCTAGAAGCTTCCCAAGGACTGTGGTGTAGAACCTGAGACCGCCCAACACAGCAAAGACTAGATGGTCCTCAGCACCTCTCACCTGGATTATTCTAGTATGTCCTAACCAACCTCTCAATCTGGGGCTCAACTGCCTCTTCAAA